ACAGCACGATTTTGAAAAAAGGTTCCTGCGCTATTTTTGCCGATTTCATGTGCAACTTGCATAGAAACCTGTGCATGAAGTCACACAGAGCAGTGTTTTTGAAATCACATTACTTCAAGTGAAGCAGCGCAATTTCAAAACCGAATTCAGTGTGAACCAGGGCTTATATATACTTTAAGCAGTTACAGTTGTTTCTTTTGGGATAAAGGTTTTACATAAATAAATAAAAGCTGAGCATGGTAAGCACCCGTTAGTGGTAAATAGTTTGTCTCAACCCTGTAACTGCCACATCTGCAGGAGAGCTTATTCTCTTGAAAAACAAAAAAGACTTACTGGCTGGATCACCAGGTGAAAGTAAAAAAAAAAAAAAAAAAAAAAAAAAAAAGCCTAAAAAGAGAAAAACTAATACAGCCATAACATCGAAGAACTGGTAAGCTAAAATATAAAAATGTTTGCTTTTGGGTTTAATACAGCTTTAAACTTGACAGGGTCTCTTTAACTGCTTCACGACCGCCCTATAGCAGAACTACTGCTACAGGGTGGCAGGGCTGCGCAAAATCACATTTATATATATATATACTGTATATATATATATATATACACACATACATACATACACACACACATATATATATATATACACACATATATACACACATATATACATACATACTCACACACGATTTTGCATTTCTGGGTAGGGGGCGCACAAGCGCCGCCCTGCCCACGCCACCGTTGGCGGCTACGGCTGTCAATCACCAGGTCCTGGCCGGAGATTCCCCGCTGGTACCCGGCGATCGCCAAAGAACATTGACAAGGGAGAGGTCTGTATGTAAACAATACAGATCTCTCCCCTGTCAGCACCAGCCTAGCAGAGCAATACAAAGCAGCATGCTTACATAGTAAAACAACACACAGCACATAATGTGAAACACAACACAGCTAACCCTTGGATCGCCCCAGATGTTAGCCCCTTCCTGTTCAGCATCATTAGTACAGTGTCGGTGCTTTTTATTAGCACTGATCACTGTATTAGTGTCACTGGGGATGTCAGTGACAGTTCCCACCTAGTGTCAGAATGCTTGCTGCAGTCCCACTATAAGTCACTGATCGCCGCCATTACTAGCATGGGAAAAACAAAATCCAGTATATATACTGCCATTTGTAGATTCTATAACTTTCACAAATAAATTAATTTGCACGTATTGGGATTTTTTTTTTTTGTTTTTGTTTTTAGCAAAGACATGTAGCAGAATACATTTATGACAAAATTTGATTTTTTACTGGACATGTTTTATAGCAAAAAGTAAAAAATATTGGGGTGTTTTTTTGTCGGCGTTTTTTTTTGTTCATATTGCAAAAATGTAAAAAACACAGAGGCGATCAAATACCACCAAAAGAAAGCTATTTGTTCTGAAAAAAAGGACATAATTTTCATTTAGGTGCAGCTTTGCATGACAGTGCAGTTGTCAGTGAAAGTAACGCAGCGCTGTACCCCCTATCCCTCTTGTATTGAACTGTATTAATTCCTGGTTTCCAAGTTCCTTATAGCAACACTTGTAACTTGGAAACCTGGAATTAATCCATTTGATTGAAGCTGATTTATGGGAAAGAGGACTTATGTTTATTATACTGTGATGATTTTTGATGCATGGGTGGGGTAAACTGCGTTTATTAGCATGATAGGCTGTGAATATGAGGTGAGCACATAATAGAGCAGCAGTGTTGCTATAAGGAACTTGGAAACCTGGAATTAATCCATTTGATTGAAGCTGATTTATGGGAAAGAGGACTTTTGTTTATTACACTGGGATGTTTTTTGATGCATGGGTGATTTTTTATGAGGATTTTTTGTGTATTATATTGGGATGTTTTTGCTGCATGGGTGGATTTTTAGTGGAACACAATTAAGAGGGTTTTTGCATGTTTCTGAAAATTGATATATATGCACATGCTTTTTTTGTTTTTAGGGAGCGCAGCACAATAATTTATTTATTTACTATTATATACACTATTATATGAGTTGGGTGTGAAGTGTTTGCGAACCACATATTGTTTTTATTTTTGGTTTACTTTATGTTTTTATTCATTTTTAAAAAATAGTATTTTGTTACACATTTTGAAGGTGAAAGTCACTATATTGGCTCACGAGTTTTTTAAAAACATTTTTTTTTTGAACTGTATTGTTGCTGTATTGTCTCCCGTTATATTGTAAAGCGCTGAGCAAAGTGTTGGTGCTTTATAAATCCTGTATGATAATAATAATAATAATATCGAAAAAAAATGGCCTGGTCAGGAAGGGGGGTAAATCCTCTGGAGAGCAAGTGGTTAAACACTGAACAAAAAGAAAAAAAAAAAAACCCACAAAAAAACAAAACAACCTGAAAGTAGGTAAAATCCTTATACTACATGGAAGGGACTAAGATAGTTCAATGCCATACAGAAAGACTCAGCAGTTATCAAAGATTCCTTTTATTATAGGCTGAGAGGGAACAGTAGTCAAGGGAAAATCTGTCGTGAATCACCTGTTCAGTTGAAAACTGTGAGATATGGAATTTGCCCCTCAGGTATAAACACGCCACCTCTTCCCTTCCCCTTTAACATCTCAAGGAAAGCGACTACAGTACTAATATTTGATGACTCGTGGGTAGTGTGGAATTGTAAAGTAGCACTGTGACCCTTCCTTCCTCTAATATCAAATCCAGCAAATGGTATCATTCATCTACATTTTACCATTCCATCACCACTTCTGTGAATAAAGTGTTATTTTTAAACTGTGAAATAACTTGAAGCCCACCGATACATATGTATCGAAAAAGAATAAAATGTTCTCCAAAACAATGTGTCTGTATATTATTCCATCGCTGTACAATAAACACAATTCACCAAAACAATGAGATTTCTAAATAATTAGAATATAAATGAATACAATATATGGAGAGAAAGGTGTGCAGTAAAAACAAATAATGAATAATTTAATTGATTTTACCTCACAATTTTTACAATAAAATGGCACTGACACTATTGCAACTGCATGACATTCATGCCAAACGTTAAAATCTGCAAAAACTGCACTATATACATAATTCTAAGCTTTAAGTAAATCATTTTATGCAGCATACAAAATATTTAGAAAAAAAAAAAAAACATGCAAGGATGAGATCACCATGGTAAATCCCTCGTTAAGGATTCGGAAGTTCTATGGCCTGGTCCACATGGGCTGTAGCTTGTATAAGAGCAGTGTGTACAGCTGGCTTTTGCAAAGCTTTCAGCAATCTTCGAGTAGCTTTGTTGAAGACATTGAGGTTCTTCAGACATCTGAAGAAAACTTCAGATCAAGCATGGAGAAACACAGATCCTACTGGGAGTGCTGATGGTCTCTCTAACAAGCTGCTAGCTAGTTTCTAGTAATGAGGACACCTCCTAGCAGCTTGTTTAAACAACACTCCCTTAGGATCTGTGTTTCACCCTGAAAACGTGAACTGAAGGATACTTTCAAGTGATACTAAACCCAGGACCCCGCATTCACTATATCTGGTCTCTCAGGACCCTGCATTCACTATATCTGGTCTCCCAGGACCCTGTATTCACTATATCTGGTCTCCCAGGACCCTGTATTCACTATATATGTTCTCCCACAGTACACACAACATGGAAATGCAATTATTTTAGTAAATATAAACTGCTAAATACCTTTTCTCACCAGCAGTTAGAGCAGTCTTGTGACTTCAGCAGAGTACTGGTTAAAGCTTGTAGGAGGAGCTTTCTTTCTGCTCTAGGACAGGGGTGGGCAACTGGCCCTCCAACTGTTGTGGAACTACAAGTCTCACCATGTTTATGCCTCTGGGAGTGATGATTTTTAATTGGCAGTCTTGCAGTGCTTCATGGGACATGTAGTTCAACAGGGCCGCAGTTGCCCACTTCTGCTCTAGGACGATGTGAAACCCTTGATCCTCTGTCTAGACCATGCTGATTGGCCCTGTGCTGGTCACATGCACTCTCCCAAGACGAAAAAATTAAACCTCTCAAGCAATGCACACCAAACCGAGCATGTGACTACGGATTCAGTCTGTATCAGGTAGTCATTTCAACAAGAGGGGGATCAGAGAAGACAGCATCAAACAGCCTTTTTACACAATGCAGAGGATTAACCCCTTAGGTTCCACAGTGAGTATAACAAGCATGCTTTACTGCGTATACAGACTGATTTTATTGTTGTGGGTTTAGTAACACTTTAAACACTTCAAAAAAACCTGCTTGAAGCTTGTCAAAAGCTTGAAGTACACACTAAAATACTGCAACCCAGGAAAAATCCTACACTGCACAGGCCAAATTTCATTCCAATTAAAACAATGAAGTGCACTTACATTTATTATTTCTAATAAAAGGCTTACAAGAACAGGCAAGCCTATATGGATCACCACTGCCTTCAATGAAAACCATTGGCTTAAAGCCAGTAAGTTGAGTGGATCTCCCTGCTAAGGATTCCCATTGAAGGAAATAGTGCTCCATAAGCAAGTATTTCAAATATAAATGCAATTTTTACGGTTTCACATTTGTAAACCTAGTGATCTGTGCAGTCCAGTGCTCTCCTGTTTGATGTCTCATACAAAAGATTTCATTTTATAGCAAAACAGAGCACTGCTCTGACTAGTGAAAAGAAAGCTGAGATCTTACTGGTTGCCTTATCATTGATCACCTGCTCCTCAAATCTCAACACAAGCCCTTGGAAAATGGCTTACTTGTGGCTTATTGCTGTAGCCCAGGGATTGTGGTTCCACTTTTTCAGAAGACTGTGAATGATTTTGGTCCTCCTACTCAACTGCAAAAACAAATAAATGCCTATGTTGGACAATCCTGCTTTCTGATCTGGCCCTGTAAGGGGTGCAAGTGAGCCAGCTGCTTTATTAGCATCTTTCTTGCTTCCCTAATATTCAAATAGGACCAATCCAACCTGGTTGTCTCAAAGTCATATCCTTGGTTTCCATCCAATGAAGTCACTAGTTTGTGGCCTGGCTGCTGGTGGGCTGTACTGGTTTCTTATCTGAGATTTTAAACATATTTCTGGCTTTGTGGGGTATACAGGTCAATAGGTTTGAGATAGGAGCTTCTGCAACACCTGTTGGGGGAAAACAACAATATTAGTCAATATGCACTTTTTAAATTAGAACAGGAACAGAGGTCATGGGTAGGGATGCACAGATACCAGTATCGGTGCCAATACCGAGAATTTGCAGGAGTACTCGTACTTGTCAAAATGCTTGATACATGAAACTGATATCAGAATCCCCAGCCACAGGGAGGTTTCCTGCTCCGCTCCTGTGTGAACTCAGCCTATGACAAGCATGGGTTTACACAGGAGCAGTGGGGGAAACTGCATGCGATTTGGACAGGAATCGTACCACATTCCTGTTCAAATCACATGCCATTCTTTGTGGTGCAATTTGCGCCCATACATTTTTTATTGCACCGCAAAGTATTGGTGAGTACTTGACCAAAAGTATCGGTACTCGATCAAAAAAAAAGGGTATCGGTGCATCCCTAGTTATGGGAATATCTTTCAATGGGGACACCTGTTCTGGTGACAACTGTCAGAAGGTGGGATTTCCTGTCACTATGAAGATATTTCCACTCAAATTAAATATACAAGACAGAAAGGGGATTTCTACTTTAAAAGGAATTGATCAAAGAAACATAGGAGTTTCACTTTTTGCTTTTCAAAGTGTATGCTCCAGGGTTAACCCTATCCTCACCAATTGGGAGGTACAGACTTACTAGAGAACATGCACAATGGGCAGCTTCTATACCGACAGATTGCTTTTAATTCAATGAATGAAAAGAGGATTCAGATTTAAAGAAAAGCACTGGATAACTTATGAATAACATTGCTATATTATTAATTTTGTATTTTTCATTATTAAAAAAAATAGCTTCCACTTTAATCTGCAACCTGCTATGACTCTCTAAAAGTGGCAAGACTTTGAAAAGAAACACCCCAAAAATCTCCTGTCGTGCTTGTACGTTTAATCACTTTTTCTAGAAGCCTCGAAGTAAAATTCCAGCCACTGCTTCTAAGTTTGTGGTAGTAAGCCTTCTTGGTGAGATACTTGTTGTCTCTGTGAGGTACTATATGTCTGGAGAGTAAACTGATTGCATGATTATAGCAGGTAAACCTCCCCATTTAGAAGTCGCCTTCAGGATGTCAGTGGAATGGCCTGTCATGTATGATAATAGAAGGAAAAGAATCTGCAATGAACCTCGCTAAAATCATTGCACCGTAATTGAGGATATGGCGAGGATTACTTTTGTTTTTGTCTGATTGAGGTCACTAGTCCTACAGGTTTCTTCTGGTACTATTCATTTGACCAAATACCAAAGGCAAAGAACCTCTGATGAAGGGAGGGGGGACATAGTTCAGACAGAGCTGCGATTGGCTGGCTCTGCCCACATATTTATCACAGAAGCACCTTCAAGCAAAAATCATATAACTAATTCTTCATTGTCTGGTTATACAGTTGTGTTCAAAAGTTTGCATACCCTGGCAGAAATTGTAGCATTGATATTGAAAATATGACTGATCATGCCAAAAAATGCTCTTTTATTGCAGGATGATGATCAAATGAAGCCATTTATTATCAAATACAGTATTTTTCTGGCGTATAAGACTCTTTTTATACTTAAAAATATACCCCAAAAATTGGGGGTCGTCTTATATGCGGGGTATAAAATGTGAACCTTGAGTTTGTTTGGGTCAAGCAGGCTGGATGTGTGGTAATACTGTACATACAGTATACCGTGCTGAGCCAAGCTGGCTCAAAACAAATGTCCCTATGACAGATTAATCTGTCAGCCAGCTGGATGTGCGGTATATACAGTATACTGAGCCAAGCGGTTTCAAAAACGTACGGTACATCCCTACTGTAATCAGCCCGCTGGATGCGTGTATGTACAATAGCTGCGGCTACATACAGTATACACTGGGCCAATCACGGCGAGTGATGTATTCTACTAATGAATACAAAGCCTGCTCGGATTGGCTGAGTCAGAGAGGTGGGCTGATGATGTCACAACCTCAGCCAATTGGCAAATTTTTTTTCCTTTTTAAAATAGCAAATGTGTCATACTTTCCTGCTCTGTGTAGTGGTTTTGCACAGAGCAGCCCTGATTCTCCTCTTCTTGGGTCCCCTATCGGCGATCCTGGTCCTCCCTCCTGCCAAGTGCCCCCACAGCAAGCAGCTTGCTATAGGGGCACCTAATCAGGCTCGCTCCCAAGACACTGCTCTGCGTGTCCATTCACAAACAAAGTAGTGGGCTCGGCCCTGCCCCTTTCTCTCCTCATTGGCTGTGACTGATAGCAGCAGGAGCCAATGGCACCCGCTGCTGTCTCTGCCAATGAGGAGGGAGAGTCCCCGGAGAGCTGAGGCTAGTGAACTTTGCTGGTTCTAAAGGCTCAAGGTTAAGTAAGCAAGATAGGTCAGAAAAAGGGGGCTTTGTTTCAGTATACAGCACTTTAAAAAATGGTGGCACACTTACCTGATGGTGCCAGTGACCTGATTGACTCAAGGAGGTTGGGGCTGGAGAACTTGATAACACATCGTAAGGGTTCAATCTTTTCAGCAATGCCGGGTTCCCCTTTGAACGTTGTTTCCAGCTGTTACAGGGATAGTAATAGGAGAGAAACCATATACATCAGAACAAATAAATGGTTCCATAGTACTTAGACAGAGTATACTGGGTCTTTCCCAATCAACAGGGCAGAGTATGGGACACTCACCACCCAAACGTCAGCACTGATTAAATATATAGGTAACCAATTATTAAAACAATATTCACACTTCAAAGTACTATATCTTGTTCCTGTAAGGAGACAGATACTCAATACCATACTGCTAGTTAGAATAGTAGGGAATACGCTTGTGACATGGGCCACTTATATGGGCACTTTGTAGACGATAATGTACTAATGTCAACAGAACTCTGTTTGTTTCATGTTTTAACTACTTTATCTGTTTGTACAAGTTTCAAAGGCCTAAAATCAAACAGGAATATAAACAGCAAGGTCTTATTGTTTTACAGCAGCCCTCAAGTCATACTGTTCCAGGGAACAAATGAACGAAAAAGGAGACAAGCGTTAGATATTGTGTGCCATCACATTTAAAAAAAAAAAAAAAAAAAAAGCTGCTCTAGAAGAATCCGGACAATGTGAGGATCCGCTCAGATGCCAGACAGGCAGCCGGCTCAGCCTCTCAGTTTCCCACTGAGAGCCTGAGCCAGCCGCTCCCACCCCCTTTCCAGCCTGGTGCTCCAGTGAGCGCTTGAGGGGAAAAGCAGAGAGAGTGGTGACTGAGCAAACTGAGAACTGAGTGATCAGCAGTCATATGATCACTCAGTTCTCAGGCTTAAAGCCGAAGGGGACAGTAGGAAGGGAAGTATGGATGTTTGGGGTGTTTTTTGACTCCTACATTTCACCTTTAAGCAAAGTCTATGTAACAGTGTTTGTCTATTTGTGACTTTAACCCTGGCAGCCAACTGCAACAGTTTTACAAAGGTCTGAGATAAATTTATCACTGCAGATGAGAGACATTTTCACTTTCACGGGTTCAGGTTTCTTTCTGTTCCAGTGTTACTTCAAAAGCAGCTTAGAGAGAAATGTATGAATCAAGCTGTAACTTCATAGTAAATCTGTTACACAATCTGTCTTACTGTTCCTGTTTAGCATTGCCTTGCTGTGCGACATAATTGATAAAAGTTCCCCACAGAATTTGTATTTTCATACCCTATAGGACGCATGTTCCAATTTTGGAAGGGGCCCATCTCCAAATGTTTCACGAGTCAGATGATGAATCCTCTCTTTTTCCTTAAGGTTTTCATAAGTTACTCTTGGATCCACTAGAAAGGATGTAAAAAAAGTTTGTTAAAGAAGTAAGGCTTTGTTCACACTATTTTTGTAACTCAAGAAAGTAGAAGCTATTTGTTAAAATTCTTTTAAGTTATAGAAATTACAATAGAAAAGAGACGTTGTCTACATGTAGGAAGTATCCACTAGTACTGTGTAATCTCGACTTGACATTTTTAATCTACGTCCTTTTTGAGGTACGTTCTGTTCTATCTAGGATAGCACTGAATCTTATGAAGAAGATGCCACACAGTACACAGAAGTTCTGAATAAATGTTGAGCAGGTTTACTTGGATCCACCAGACAAGCGGAGACATTTTAGGCATGCACACAAAGAATGTACTGGCATGTACACTACTATCTGGGTTTAGCAAAACACAGTATCATATGTAAAAAGAAATCTTAAAAAAAAGAAAGAAAGAAAAAGAGAAAGAAAGAAGGAAACAAAGAAGGAAAGAAAGAGAAAGAAGGAAGGAAAGAAGGAAGGAAAGAAGGAAGGAAAGAAAGAAGGAAGGAAGGAAGGAAAGAAGGAAGGAAAGAAGGAAGGAAAGAAAGAAAGAAGGAAGGAAGGAAGGAAGGAAAGAAGGAAAGAAGGAAGGAAAGAAGGAAGGAAGGAAGGAAAGAAGGAAGGAAAGGAAAGGAAGGAAGGAAGAAGGAAGGAAAAGGAAGGAAAGAAGGAAGGAAAGAAGGAAGGAAAGAAGGAAGGAAAGAAGGAAGGAAAGAAGGAAGGAAAAGAAGGAAGGAAAGAAAGAAGGAAGGAAAGAAGGAAGGAAAGAAGGAAGGAAAGAAGGAAGGAAAGAAGGAAGGAAAGAAGGAAGGAAAGAAGAAGGAAGGAAAGAAGGAAAGGAAGAAGGAAGGAAAGAAGGAAGGAAAGAAGGAAGGAAAGAAGGAAGGAAAGAAAGAAGGAAGGAAAAAGAAGGAAAAGAAAGAAGGAAAGAAAGAAGAAAGAAGGAAAGAAAGAAGAAGAAGAAGAAAGAAGGAAAAAAAAAGAAAGAAGGAAAAAAAAAGAAAGAAAGAAAGAAAGAAAGAAAGAAAGAAAGAAGGAAAGAAAGAAGGAAAAAGAAAGAAAGAAGAAAGAAGGAAAGAAAGAAAGAAAGAAAGAAAGAAGGAAAGAAAGAAAGAAGGAAAGAAAGAAAGAAGGAAAGAAGGAAAGAAGAAAGAAAGAAGGAAAGAAAGAAAGAAAGAAGGAAGGAAAGAAAGAAACAAAGAAGGAAGGAAAGAAAGAAAGAAAGTGCATTCCAAAATTTACCATGGCTTACCTATGGCTGGCGCATAGTTTCTCTTTTGAAGCGGTCTTGGATGATATGCTTGTAAATTCTGTTTAGAATAAATAAACAGTGAGAAACATATACCCCAGAATTCTCTGAAAGTACCATGGCCATTGTACCATTAGTTGTTTAGCTTAAAGCAATGGAATCTAGACACTGCCACTGTTGAAAAGTCTATTTCCAGGTACAACAAAAATACTCTCTCCCTTGCAATGGGGTTGCCCTAGCACTGCAGGGATTAAATGCTCGTTTATGTCTAAGAGTGCTGGAAAAAGCAGTTTTACTTACTTGAATCCCCAGCAGCCAACACAGATCTACTCTCCCTTCGCTCGGGCTTATGGAGTTTCCCTGTGCACCTCCATCTCTAAATGAAGGCTATGGGCCATGCACTGCACCTATGACGTCCGAGGATATATGACTTGTGGAGCGCTGAGAAGAGGCTGCGGATGCCGGTCTTACAGCCTGGAGGGAGCCTGCAGAGGTGGGGGAATCATAAGAAAACGTGCTTTTTCCAGGTACCCTAGACATAAACAAGCATTTAACTATTGTTGTGGGGGAGCAAGGATTTTTAAGACTTTAACCACCTCCTGCCCGCCATATTGTCCAATGACGGGCGCAAGGTGGGTCTCTCGTTCTGGGAGGACATCATATAACGTCCTCCCATTCTCACTGCGCATGCGCGGCTCAGGGAGCGTGCAGCGTGGTGATCGGCGGTGCGCTGTGTCCCTCGGACACAGTGGATCACCAATCCATGAAAAGAGCCGAAGATGTCGGCTCGGTCATGTGATCAGCTGTGTCCAATCACAGCTTATCACATGTAAACAGGGAAATGCTGGTTATCGGCATTTCTCTCCTCTCAAGCTGTCACGCTGACAGAGGAGAGGAGAGCCGGTAATCGGCATTCCGCGGAGGGGACATGTACACTGATAATCAGGGCACTGATGATCAGTGTGGCCCCAGGAGTGCCACCTGTCAGTGTCCATCAGTGCCAGCTGTCAGTGCTGAAAAGTTCCACATGCCAGTGCCCATCAGTGCCTACCAGTACACATCAATGCGACATATCAGTGCCCATCAGAGCTGCCTTTCAGTGTCACCCATCAGTGCCACCTATGAGTGCCGCCAATCAGTGCCGCCTATCAGTGCCATATATCAGTGCTGCCTTTCAGTGCCCATCAATGATGCCTGTCTAGCCCATCAGTGCCGCCTACCAGTGCCTCCTCATCAATGCCACCTATCAGTGTCCATCAGTGCAGCTTATCAGTGCCCATCATTGCAGCCTCATTAGCCACACATCAGTGGAGAAAAATCACTTATTTACAAAATGTTATAACAAAAACTAAGAAAAAAAAATTTTTTTTCAAAGTTTTCTGTGGTTTTTGGTTTAAGAAAAAATAAAAAACCCTGAGGTGATTAAATACCACCAAAATAAAGCTCTGTCACAAAAAAATGCTAAAAATTTCATATGGGTAGTGTTGTATGACCGCGCAACTGTCATTCAAAGTGTGACTGAGAGCTGGAAATTTGCCTGGGCAGGAAGGGGGTATAAGTGCCCTGTAGGCGAGCGGTTAAACCCCAAACCTGGACTCTGCTCGCACAGGAAAGGCTTCTGTGCTCATGTCACATATGTTCTCTAGAGAAAAGGAGCTGTAAGACTTTACCCCACTATTGTCTTCATGCACCTGGAATGTACTCTGATGATATATATGCTGATTTGAAACTAAAAGTTCAGTTGGGCTTTAGGCTTGCCAGGAAAGCCTTGTTCACACCATGTGCAGAGATGAGAGTTTTTCTTTCTGCAGGAAAACAATCGTTCTCTATGTGCCCTGTTCACACCACAACAATGGTATCACGTGCAGATTCTTTCTGCGCAGGAATCTGCAACATGTATAAAACTCACAGAAACACACATGAACATTGATATAAACTCGTGTCTGTGCAAGTGAAATCTGCATGTTTTTCCCATCAGTTTGTCTGCAGGTATGGTGTAAATGAGTAAGCCGCACACGTATGGGAAACACATGACTTTAACCTTCTGTTTTTTTTTATTTGGTTGGTGTTCAGGTGGGATTGGAAAAAAACAAACAGTCGTGTGATTGTCTAGGTATGGCAAATCTGTCCAAAAAAGGTGTTTGCATCTTGATTCAGAAGTTTATTCCCCTTTCCAGTACTTAGCAGAACCACAGACAAAGGTACACCATTGAGGAGTTTGAATCTGCCTCCTAAAATTGATTAAAACTTCTACCAGTGTGTCTATAAAACAAAGCTACAATAAAGAGCAAAGAAACATTTGGATAGAGAAAATTTCTTTCAGAAGTGATTCTAAAGTTTAGCAGTAGGTGGGAATAGAAGCCATTCATTGCCTTTACCTTATTACAGCTGTTCAAGATACAGAGCTACAAACTCAGGATTTCCTGATGACTTTTCCCACCTGCTGAAGAGGTTTAGAACCAGGCCTGAAAAAGAAACACAGGTCTAAGAAAGAAGTGAGCGATGACACAGCAGCTCTGACACTAAAAGTAATTGAAGTGGAGCTCCACCCAAAAGGGGAAGAAGTTCTGTTTTAAGGCCTCCTTACTCTCTCCTCTTTACTTAATGGCACTTTTTTTTAAGGGGAGAGGGCTTTATCAGGTTCCCCGCTCCCACTTTCGCTCCAATTGCCTAGGCTCCCCCCCCCCCCCCCCGCAGTCTTCCTTGGATATGTGTCAGGTCCCAGATGACTGTGTGACCATTCACAAAGCGCAGTGCAGTGGGCACCTGGCTGTGAAGTCACAAGGTGTCACAGCCAGGTGCCCACAGTTGGAATGCCAGCATCAGACACAGGGCAGTGATGTGAAGAACAGCTCGGGTGAGCACATTGCTGGATCCTGGGACAGGTAAGTGTCTGCATAATAAAAGTCAGCAGCTGCAGTTTTTGTAGCTGCTGACTTTTAATAGACACCAATTTGACTGGAGCTCCTCTTTAAAGAGAGCCTGCGCTTTGCCTGTAATGCACAACAGGTTTCCTTTATCACAGGAACCCTGAAAGAACATTTCCTTACCATCCAATTGCTACCCCGATATGGAGTCTGGAGAACTATTCAGTGCTACTGGGTAGGGGAAAACATGACATTGCCCCTGCCTCCCCACAATGCAGTGCCTGAGTGATGGCTGACCAAATGGCAAGTAAATATCCGTTGAGCTGAACTTTAGACAACCGACTACACAACTGAAATTCACATACGAGAATGGTCTTTTCTGTCAAGGATATGTAATCCTGGCCAGCCACATTTGTGATTAATGAAATCCTCTGCCAGATACCACATCCAGGCGAGCAACATATTGCTCTATGTTCGCGAAAAGAAATATAATGGGATCACTTTCCTGCACGCAGCCTGGACAATGAAGGAGGAACACCACAAGTTATCAACTCTCCTCACTGTGCTCCCTCCCTCTCTCCGTATGCTCCTTGTCAGCACATGTGTATGCGGCAGAGCCTGACGGGCTGCTATTGCTGACCCTCCCACTTTCAGTCTATGTGCTACTATGAAGGAGATACTAATATGTCAGATATAAGATAAGACTCAGGTTTATGCTGGTTGTTTATAAAATATTATTTGTAAGGAAATGTATTTGAAAAAAACATTTAATGCATATGGATATCTGTCTGAAGTTTAGCTTTAAAATGTCCTTACAGTACAACAGGAATGGACAAAGTACAGGTTCACTATAAGAAAAATGCACAAAGTCTGGAGCAAACACTTTTAAAGCCAATCTCCAGGATAAAAATGTGAGGAGCTTAGGCGGGTATATCTGCCTTCACCAAGTGTGTGTGTGTAGCGGGTATATCTGCCTTCACCAAGTGTGTGTGTGTAGCGGGTATATCTGCCTTCACCAAGTGTGTGTGTGTGTAGCGGGTATATCTGCCTTCACCAAGTGTGTGTGTGTGTGTAGCGGGTATATCTGCCTTCACCAAGTGTGTGTGTGTGTAGCGGGTATATCTGCCTTCACCAAGTGTGTGTAGCGGGTATATCTGCCTTCACCAAGTGTGTGTGTGTAGCGAATATATCTGCCTTCACCAAGTGTGTGTAGAGGGTTTATATCTGCCTTCACCAAGTGTGTGTGTGTAGCGGGTATATCTGCCTTCACCAAGTGTGTGTGTGTAGCGGGTATATCTGCCTTCACCAAGTGTGTGTGTAGCGGGTATATCTGCCTTCACCAAGTGTGTGTGTAGCGGGTATATCTGCCTTCACCAAGTGTGTGTGTAGCGGGTATATCTGCCTTCCCCAAGTGTGTGTGTGCGTGTGTGGGCTGGGGACAAGAGCGACTATCCCGATAGGTTGAGGTCATGGTCATGTTGTCATCACAGTATTCAATAGAGGAAAGGAGTTTATTTGCATTGTACTAAACAAGAACTCACTTGCTTCACGCTTCCTCTGGCAGTAAAGAACTTAACCATTGCTAATGCATTGGTCATGTGGTCTCTAAGTGGTTTGTGGTCTGGTGCTCATCAAAGTCAGTCAACAGTTCTGTCAGAACAATGAGTGATCAAACATCCTATTTGTTGGCACTGGCAAAGTGACCCACACTGGAGAACGCCTGGAGCAGCAGATCTTCCAAAAAAAGCAAGTTGAAGACAATTTGTTACCATAGAAAGTGATGACAAATCCAAAATGTAAGAGTTGTCAAGAGAGCAAGAGATAAATGGAATTCTCCTAATGGGAGAACATGCTGGGGTGACAACTGCCTAAGTGGGGAATTACCCTCACTTTGAATATGGTTCCTCTTACATCCTGATAGGAAGCTAAATCTCTGCAACAGGACACAGTCAGTGAAAGATAAATGGAGTGTGTTAGCCCTTTGCTACTCTATCCAAAACTTAAATGAATATGTTGGCTTTACATACACTTTAACAGCTCTTAGCTCAAACTTACAACTTTCAAATTGTGTTGAAAGCAGGCCATATATCATACCTCGAGTATGTGATCTCACATTTGCAAACAGACAAAAAAGGATGAAATCACCTGATTAAATCTCTTAAAGACTATGTCCTTCAGGGAATCCAAGCATCGACTTTTCAGGTCCATCTCCTGAATCTGATTGTATCTAGCAGCACTTAATATTGCCTATGAAAGACATGCAAATGTTCAAAATGTAATCACAGAGAAGTTAATTGAAGGTTTATCACACAAAAATGCAACAAGCAGTAGTACCCTTTGCATGCACTTTTAGAGTGACAAATCACTTTTATACCTTGCAATGCACTAAAAATGACAGTGGAAGTGGAAGGGTGTTTTTCCCACAATAAGCAGATAAATAGCACATCGGTTCAGTAAAGGTTTCAATGGCAATCAGCCTATTCCAGAACAAAATTATGGGGAAGTGATTAAATTTTTTTTTTTCCATCTAAATCATGCACCCACGTTTTTGATCCTTTTTTTGGCATAAAGTAGAATTCTCTGCACTGATGACTTTGTAGCTAAGTTACTGCACCACCGAATACAAAATTAGATGTACGCCTATCCCCCAAAATTAAAAATACACATGTATTCGTGCAGAAAACAATGTGCAGTTATTTATTTTTTCGCAAATGAGCGCAATGCCAGACTCCTCCCTTCAGCTCCCTGTCCAGAGTAAGGTAGGGGCTCTGTTAGAGAACTGGAGGATGTTAGTGGACTATGAGTGCGGTGATCACTGCATTTGCATTCCATTAAGAACTACACATTCATCGGCTGCTGTGGCATACAGAATTTGTAGTTCATTCAGTCACAGTTGGCAGAGCCCTGCACAGGAGCACCGGTTTTAAATCCGGCAGCTGCTGTGGGGATGAAGAACCCCTGCACGATGCCAGAGTGGCAGCCTTTTTGGAAGGGGGGTCTGCTTGGCACCACGTTGCACTTAAAAGGGAGAAGTACAACCAAAGCTCTTTTGGCTGTACTTCTTTGGATCACAGGAGTGCAGTTCGTTCTGCACTTTTGTGACCCGTTTTCAGCTGACAGCGGGCTGAAGCCACTCAGCCGGTCCAGGCTGGGGAAAGATCTCGAATGGCACCTGGCTCAGCCTCTCAGGGATCCGCTGAGAGCCTGACCCAGCAGTGACTGACAGTGAGAACTCAGCAGTCAGTGGTCATATGATCGCTAAGTTCTCACACTTAGAGCCGGCAGGGGACCAATGCTGTGTAAGTATAATTTGGGGGAAAAAAAAAAAAAACCAAAGAGAAAACAGGTGGCGCACACACCTAGTGCATTATCCAAGGTTTATTGTAAGGAGTGAAAGAATAATAAAAACATACTCACAGATGAAGCATGTATCTAAAAAGCATAGAAAAATGACAATGGCTGCATCAACAGCAAGGCTCCTACTTTCCATTCATCACACATCAGCATCAGAGGTTGGTCATCAGCTCTGAGGAAAGGGATTCGTCCCCGAAACGTGTCAGCCATTTTACCGCACTGACAGTGAGAACACCTTGCCTGCCGTTGTGGCCATTGTCATTTTTCTATGCTTTTTAGATACATGCTTCGTCTGTGAGTATGTTTTTATTATTCTTTCACTCCTACAATAAACCTTGGATAATGCACTAGGTGTGTGCGCCACCTGTTTTCTCTCTATCCAGTGGCTGATTTCCCCGTCTGAGGAGGGCTGCACCCCTGAAGCATTTCCTTTGGTTGTCGCTGTCCTGGTACCCTTGGCTTCCCTTTAGGCTGTGCATATCCTGAGGCGCTGGAGAGTACATACAAAAAAAACAAACAAACCCCATACTTCTCTTTTAAATATGGGTGTAACATGTAACATGGACTTAACCCTTAAACAAATCTTTGCTTTACACATTACTACCAGTGTATAATAAATAGCGGGTACTTCTGGGCATTGGGGAAATTGTGACCCCCTTCCCCGCCGTGCATATAAACGTATTTACTAGTCAACATGTGGGTTCATGTATGTAAAACGGCTTAAAACCAAGCACGAACATCTTAACCCTGGTGGAAGAGTGCATCGCAAATTAAAGCAAAGCTAATCTTAGAGATACTTATTGCCACTCCAGTAATATGACATCCTCAAGCTCCATCACAGCATCTTCACCCATTTTCTTCAGTTCAGCATCTTTGCCCATCTTGATTGGCCTCTATCAAGCAAGCAGATTTGCTAGCAGGCAAGTTGAAGTATTTAATGAAGAAGAGACATTGGGGTTGATTTATTAAAATTGGACAGTGCAAAATCTGGTGCATCAATGCATGGTAGCCAATTAGCGTCTAACATCATTGGTCCATTAAGCTTTGGTAAAAAAAAATTTAAAAAAACTGGAAGCCGAAGGTTTCTATGCAAAGCTTCAACAGATTTTGTATTCTCCAGTTTTAGTAAATCAACCCCATAGTATGTATTTTTGGCCCTTATCTTCATAACAAAAGAGGAGGGATGGGGGGTATTCTGTATGGTTAACACTGTGAGCAGGACAAAGCACTGCTTGAGTTGTGCACAGAAACTTACAAACTCACTGGATTTCTGGAAGGATTAACATTTTTTTCTTCCCAAACAGATATAATAAAACTTTCAATTGCATATCTAACAGACCAAAAGAGAGCAGAATAAGAGAAGTCCATTGTTAGGGTTCATATGCATTTTAAAGGTTTTGATGGATGCTTCTTGCAATTCAGAGAAATTGGACTCTCATATTACGATACCTTGTAGATACACAGTGTTTTAACACACAAGTTCATAGAAATAAATGCTCACTTGCTGGTGCAAGATTAGCATGGCTAGTTCTCATGAAGAAACAAAAGTACGTACCTGACATAAGACAGGCCGGAAGGTACTTGAAAGACTTGAAACAAAGACATAAGGTGTTTGGGTGTGGTACACAACAAAGGTAGGTCTGTACTGATTGGGCTTCATACTAGTTTGACTCCAGGCTAAGCGGATCCAAGTTGCATCTCCAAAATCTTTGAAGTGGATGGTTGCCTAAGAAGTAAAATAGAATGAAAAATAGAAAAAAAAAAAAGAAAGCACGTGACTTCTGGTTAATGTTTTTTTGTCTTTTAAGGGAAAATGTGTTTTAAGAAATTTGGTGGCTTAACCAAATAAACGATTGAAACTTGGAGGCTGCCATTGCTAACCTCCTTCTGAAAGGGTTAGTTGCTTGGATGCCACACTAATTTAAAGTAGAAATTCAGTCAAAACCTAAGTTTTAACCTGCTTCCACCTCAATTCTAAGCCCGATATTAAATATCCTGTAAAAATGCGTATACTTACCTAATCTAAAGGAAACCCAGGACCAGCCACGTGATCAGCTACAAGCACCAGCTTCAGGGTAGAGGAGGGACAGCAGACAATGGATGCCCTCTAGTAAGTCTATGAGTGATGTCACCATCCAAACTCTGCAGCTGTTGACGGTGCTCTCTCCTCTCCCCTGAAGCTGGCCACTGGGGAGATCACATGACTGGATTGGAACGCTCCTAGATTAGGTAAGTATAAGCATGTTTCCTTTACAGGATAGTCAGTATATGGCTTTGAATGGAGGTGGATGCAGGTTTAAGTTTAGGTAAGTTATCAGAGGCTGCAGCCACTGATCGAGAAAAGTTTTCTAGCGCGTTCATTCGACAGACATCCCAGCAGCAGTCTCTGGCTTTTTGGATGTCTGCAAGGCTTGTACAGGAAAAATAATATAAAAAAACATTAAGAGAAGCATCTTACATTTTTCATAACTGAGTGAATGGCTTTTTTGAACCGTGCTTTGAATTCCGACACATCGATGTGATTCATTTCAGAATCTGTCAAGATAATAAGATTTTTTCAATACAAAGCCCATATTTAAAAAGCACAAACTTTGGACTAAACATTACTTTTTTTTTAAAAGAGTACAAATAGGAATTCAGGGAGAATGAAACCTATCATTTCAATAAATTACCAGTTGGCTTAGACATCTGATAAACATCCCAGGTCCTCTTTTTTGCATTAGAATGATTATCTGTGGAAGATAGAAACAAAGTTTAAAATAACGGATTAAAAAAAAAAAAAAATTGTGATTGCAATAATTTGGATAGCATGTTCATTTCTATATTCCTTGCTAGAAACTTCATTTTAAAAAAGGTAAATTCAATTCTATTTAAAGCTTGACAGTAGAAGTGCTGATATAAAAAACAAATAACCTCTCAGGTTCTCCCTGCTGTGGTCTGCCCACACGCCAGTGCCTAAAGCTAATATCTTAAAGTGGTTGTAAAGGCGCAATGTTTCTTTCCATGCATGAAGGTAGAAAATCATTTGTTTGCATTGGTTCCCCCCCCCCCCTTCATCCCTCCTAATACATGAGCCACATCGCGATCCAGCGATGTGCACAAGAGCCTCAGCTCTCTGGGTAGTCTCCCTCCTCATTGGCTGTCAAAGTCAGTGAGCCAATGAGGAGAGAGAAAGGGTGGGGCCAAGCTGTGGCTTTTTGTGAGAATGGACATGCAGAGCAGCAGCTCAGGAGCGAGCCTGCATGGGTGCCCTCATAGCACCCTGCTTGATCTGGGGGCACTCAGCAGGAGTTAAAGAGGAGCTCCAGTCGTTTTGTGTTTATTAATAGTCAGCAGCTACAAAAACTGTAGCTGCTGACTTTTAATTAACACACACTCACTTGTGTCCCAGGATCCAGTGATGTGCTCACCTGCGCCGTCCCTTCTCTCCCTGGCATCGGCATCTCAGCTGTGGACACCAGGCTATAACAGCTTGCAGCTTCACAGTCAGGTGCCCAGTGCGCATGTGTGAGTCACGCTGCGCCTCCTGAATGGTCCGGCAGTCTTCTGGGACCTGTGACATGTCCCAGAAGACTGCAGGGAGGGAGGTGGAGAGAGGAACTTCTGCTCGGTATGCCTACACGATTTGAGAAGAAGTGGGAGCAGGTACCTATCAAAACTAGGTACCCGCTTCTCCCTCTCAAAAAAACTTGCAACCCAAATGTGGCAGGGAAGAAGTACTTAAAGCAGAAGTTCCCCTTTTGGGTGGAGCCCTGCTTTAAGGTATCATCTCACAGGCATTCTGATCAGGTCTGCTTGTCAGTTTTGCAGGCGGACCTGATCAGAAGCTCCATGCAAGTCTATGGGAAAGTGGATGTAAACGGGAAGTGAATCCATTTACATCCACCTACCTCCGAGTCGGTCCAAGTTCGAAATATAAAAATAAAGAGTAAAGGACTGTGTCATTACTCTGGACTTAAACGTAAACATAACGGATCAGATGTAGCCTGATGTAAATGGAAGCAAGTCCATTTACATTTGGTTACCCATAGAGCCATCAAAGGTCCACCAACAAAAATGCAGACAGGAATTGGAGTTTACACAGGACTAAGAACTATTGGCAATAGCCAATGCAAACTCAGGCACCCAATGTTACATCTTGAGAGAAGTTATATGCTCCCCCATACCAGAAGTACCAGGTAATTTAGAGAGCTCTGGCAGGCAAACAAAGCAGTGGGAGAGTGCAGGGAGAGCAAGTTCGACTAGTTGTGGGTGTGATAGGAGAGAAGGCTATCAAGTATACTTGGGATTGATAGATGGGAAGCTGCTGTCAATCACTGCTCTTCCTTTACTAACAGCAGCTCTGGTAATTTCTGAGCTGTGTTCACTGGCTAAATGGCCTGTGCAAGATTAACCCCTTTCTGCTGGTTATACCCATATATATGTGGCAGTATGGGGTCAGCTTTATTTCATGCTGGTACATATATGTATTGCTATTTTGCATCAGGAGCACACTCAAACACACGTCCCCATGACCACCCAATTGTCATTCAAAGTGCAACAGCTGGCCTGGGTAGGAAGGGGATATAAGTGCCTGGTAGGCAAGTGGTTAAGTTTATCTTTGATCCTCATGGTGTGAAACTGATCTTATGTTCATATTTTGGTAGTCTAATTCATAAACAACCAAGAAACAGAAGAAGAAACGACTTACAGATGAAGTCCAAGTCTGCTGCGTGATTCAGTGTAGCCTGTTTTGCCTAGGGAGGGGAGAAAAAAAATAAATGTATAGAAAAATGTAATATACATATATAAAATTCCAGATGTGTTCTAATTACCAGTTTGTGTCGAGGAATTACCTGCCACACAGAACAGAAGAAGAGCAGCCACAGCTCCAAAGCAAAACAAAACTGATGCAAAAAGTGCCACTTAACCAGTAAAATAGAGATGGAAAGATCCCACATCCATCATTAGCATTGTGACCAATTAAAGTGGTAGTAAACCGCAACTTTAAAAAAGAATAAAAAAATTCCCTGCAAGCTGATGTCATAATGTGCTAGTATTCATCACATACTAGCACATTATGAAGGACTTACCCTAAAACGAAGCCCTCCAGAGGCACAGTGTCATGCAGCTGAGATTCCATCTTCACCGGATCTTCCTTCTAGGTTCGCGAGATCTGGCCATCTGACTGGCCAAGCCACGGTGATGTCACTGCCATGCATGCGCATGGGAGTCTCGGGCCACGGCACAGTGCTGTGAAGGAACGCAGCCGCCTGTCACAGAGCGATTATCTCCTAAATGGTGCACATTTAGGAGATATTCATTTTACCTGTAGGTAAGCTTTAATATACGCTTACCTGTAAGTAAAAGATACAAGAGTGAGTTTTACTTCCACTTTAAGCCAGCTATAGACTGAAGCGATTTTCTTTCAACCACGGGTTGCAGGAAAGAAAATAGTTTGATACCCCATTAACATGGTCAGTGTTAATGGAGGAATCCCTCCTGCGGAGTCATTGTGTTCTCCCAGTTGGGGGCGCCGTACCTGTTGGGAGAACACAGTGATTGCTATGAAGCCCGAACCCATCAGCGTCATAGCAACCAATAACTTATGTCCGTCCACGTTCAGCTGCCAGCCGGGAAATTCTACAGCTGAAAGTAAACAAAGGGACGGGATCCCAAAAAATGAAATATCAAACACAAAGTGATAACTTGCCAGTCCTCCTGTGCTCAGCGTTGAGTGGAGAATTTTAACAAACACTTTATTTGGGAATGTTTATTTTATTGTGCTCAATGTGCCTAGCCAAACACACTGAGGGTTTAATACTACTTCAAAGTACACCTTGATGCAGAAAAATGAGGGGGGGGGGTCACTGCTGGCCTCTTGCTAAATGATAGATGCCTGGCTTTTATACTTCAGAGTTACAAATGCAGAAAAAAATCAGTAAGAATTCCAGGTCTGTGACTCAAAATATACTGAAGGAAAAGTGTCAGCATGACTGCAAGGTGAATAGAATTTTCAGATGGAAAGAAGTGCATGCAGCTTGTTCGTTCTGTGATTGGTATTCCAAGATAACACTTCTATATTGGAGTGCAGATTTAATTTGGGGGTCATATTTAATTTACTGCCGCAGGTAAAAGTGTTATTGACAGACAGCATACCTCACACAGATGAACCACTTCCAGTGCTATAGTTTCCCTCGTGCTCTTTGCTGGTAACGTCTGGAGCTCTTTATCTGTTAAAAATCCCCAGGTCCTTAAATGGGTCATCAGCTCAGCCATGGACATCTTCTGAATGGTCCGCTTAATAAATTCTATAACGCATTCGTCTACAGCGGGAGTGCTGGGGGTAGAACACAAAAAATATCATTCAACGCATGCAATATTCAGTGTGCAAGTAACATTATGCATAGCGGGTCATTTAAAAAGCAGCTAAATAAAACACTTGTAATAAAGTGCGCAGTCTGCGACCATCTCCTGGAGTAAAGTCTGCGACCACCCTTCGTAGTGCGTCCGCAGCCTCCGGTCACCCCTTGCAGTGCGTCCGCAGCCTCCGGTCATCCTTTCTAATGCGCGTCCGCGGCCTCCGGTCATCCTTTCTAACGCGTCCGCGGCCTCCGGTCATCCTTTCTAATGCGTCCGCGGCCTCCGGTCATCCTTTCTAACGCGTCCGCGGCCTCCGGTCATCCTTTCTAACGCGTCCGCAGGCCTCCGTCATCCTTTGTAACGCGTCCGCAGCCTCCGATCATCCTTTGTAACGCGTCCGCAGTCTCTGATCATCCTCTGTAACACGTCCGCAGTCTCCGATCATCCTTTGTAATAAGTCCGTAGTCTCCGACCATCCTTTGTAATGCGTCCGCAGTCTCTGACCATGCTTTGTAATGCGTCCGCAGTCTCTGATCATCCTCTGTAATACGTCCGCAGTCTCTGATCATCCTTTGTAATGCGTCCGCAGTCTCTGATCATCCTTTGTAATGCGTCCGCAGTCTCTGATCATCCTTTGTAATGCGTCCGCAGTCTCTGATCATCTGTAAAACGTCTGCAGTCTCTGATCATCCTTTGTAAAATGCGTCCGCAGTCTCTGATCATCTTCTGTAAAACGTCTGCAGTCTCTGATCATCCTTTGTAATACGTCTGCAGTCTCTGGTCATCTTATGGAAACATATTTAATGATATGTGGCCCTTTGGTGATGTCGGGGTCCCACCTGAGGCCCCTTATTTGCAGAAAGTGCCCCAGCTCCGGCCTTGTCTATGCAGAATAAGAGCGGTGCAGTGTGGAGCCATGCTATGACGGTGCCATCGGGCACACTCTGTGTTCTCAGCAATAAGGACCCCGCTGAGCTGTTTATATGGAACATTCATGATTACCCGGCCAATCAATACTAACTTTATATATATACACAAATTACAGAGAACATTCCCTCCCAGCAGACCCTCCGCGGAGCGCAGCGCCCGGCTCAGGCAGACCAGCTCGTCTTGGAGGCTCCAGAGACTGTGAATCCCCCTCTCCGGTGTCTCCTCCGCCCTCATTCCCCGGTCCTCTCACCTCTGCCGCCGCCGGCTCCTCAAAGCACTCCCAGGAGGCGCCGCCATGGCGCTAACAAGTTGTCCTTTCAAACTGGCCAATCACGCCGCACATCAGAGTCGCCTCTCGACGACATCATCACCAGGCGCCCCATCACGGCTCCCCGGCGTCCAGTCTCCAGGCGGCATGGAGACGAGCAGGCCCCGCCCATCAACAACTCCCATTGGAGGAGTGGACTGTGATTGGCACACCTTGCGGCCGGTGAGGGCAGAACTTCCTGATGCGATATCAAAAGTAACCGGCGGAGAGAGCGCTGTGTGCGGGCGGTGAGGTAGGTGGTGCTGGGGTAGATGTGGAAGTCGGGTGAATTACAAGTAGCAGCGTGTCCTGCCTGCCATACCCAGCCAGGGCCGTGCATTGTATGTTCAGTGTGCAGGCCCGGGTCATACAGGTCACCCCTAGGACTGAGGACGGGCATTGGACTGTTCTAGGGCTCATTCTGAGGCCTCTGGCTCTACAATGGCGGGCTTCTTCCTTTCTAGAGCAGGCCTCCATTCATATTTATACAATCAGTTTCCTTTTTTATCTTTCTCGTCACCTGGAGAGAACTAGACTTTTATTTATTTTGGATACAGTAAGGGAGTTATAACTTTTATTTTTTCCATCTGTGTCCTATTGGGGAGGTTTACCTCCACTTCCTGTCCCATAGCCAAACAGGAAGTGAGGAAATCCCCCCCCCTAAAGTGATGGAATCCCAGGGTGTCACCAGAACTAGTGTCCCCAATGGAAGATTTCCCCTCTATTCCTGTTCTGGTCACAACCCAAAATGTAGGACTGTTTTTACTTTCACTGATAATCGTAAACAGGACAAATGGTGAGGGTGAATCTCATCATTTGAGATTTTACTTACACCAGGGGTCTCCAAACTTTTCAAACAAAGGGCCAATTTACTGTCCTTTAGACTTTTTTTGGGGGGGCCAGATTGTGGCCAGTGGGGGTAGAAAATGTCCTGGGCCCAGCATTAGTAAGAATAAACATGGCCTAGGGGTTGGTGGTCAGAAACAGGAGGAGTAGTGCTCCATCACTGGTATTAGTGTGAAGAATAATACCCCATCGTTGGTGTCAGGGCAGGAATTATGCCCCACTGTTGATGTCAGAGGAATAGTGCCCCAAGGGCCAGATAAAGGCTAGCAAAGGGCCACATTCGGCCCTTTGACCACAGTTTGGACACCATTGACTTACACTTACAAGCGTTTTACTTTTTCTTACATCTGTTGTGTTTTCGGTACGGAAATCCCCACAACAGGAAAAAAATGGCATTATAAAAAGTTTTAGATGTAATTTATTGCAAATTTTCACAATGTTAAATGGATGGAGATATATATATATATAATTTATTTTAAAACATTGAATAGTTTTGGAGCCACCTTATTCTGATTTTATCTGTTGTGCTTTTTACAGTTTAATGTTGACCTATAGACAAAATGTGCTTTTACGTTTTGTTTAGCGTAAAGGAGGGTTATAACCCATATCTATTTTTTTTTTTTCTTGCCATCTGTGTCCTGTTGTAGAGGTTTCCCTTCCCTGTCCCATAGCCAAACAGGAAGTGAGAGGAAATCCTTCCAAAGTGAGGGAATCCCTGGTTGTCGCTAGAGCCAATGTCCCCATTGGAAAATTTCCCTTCTATTACTGCTAGGGCTCATGTACACAGAGAGTTTGGAAACGATGAACGATGGAAACTGACTGCTGGAAAATGTAGGTTAAAAAACGTCAGTTTAGCCGCGTTTATGTGCGTTTGTGTTTAGAAGTGTTTTTTAAAAGATAACCTCAGGAGACCTTCCCAAATGCCTGGAATGCTCTGAAAAATAGTAAAAAGTTAACGATTTCAGACATTTTGAGAGGAATAGAGAGAGCAGAAGCAGAGAGAGCAGTATGTGTTGAGATGACCTGTCTTTTCTGGTTGTATTCACTATGGATCCCATCATGAGCATAATGCGGCACGTTCTACCATTATATCCTTCACACGAAACCTGGAACTGACTGCGCTGATGTACCGGTCCATTTGAATACATGGAAAACGCTTTGCATGCATTTCTGATGATGAAAAAAGGCTCTGGACAGCATCTGCACACCTGGAACATGTAAAAAACGCTTATAAACGCGGTTAACCGTGTTTACAAGCATTTGGTGTTTGAAACTCCAGTAAAATCGACTCCTGAACGCAAGTTTGGTGCGTTAAAAAAAACGACTGTAAACTCCACTGCCAGTAAACGACGATGTGTACATGGACACATAGGAAAACATTAGGGAGAGTTCAGGGGCTGCTGAACATTTCCTGAATGTCCGTGTAGGAGCTGCAGTATACATGAGCCATTATGGTGACAAGCCGAAATATTTGAATTTCCGTTCACTTTCAATGATAATGGTAAACAGGACAAATAGGGTGAATCTCCCTAATAGGGGCACAGACCGCAGTAAAAACTGACCGGTGTTCTAATCCATCTCCACTCTAAAACAAAACAAAAAAAAGTTTTGCCTTTTAGATACACTTGAATTTGTGACTTGCAAGGAAGGTGTGTTGTATGAACAAATTTGGCTTCAGAAGTACACCTCAACATTGTGGTGTGCTGCAGCTCCGGTGCACTGGGATGCCTTTATTTATGAATAGCAGTGCACCGATGAATGTAATGTGCATTAATGCCGCAGGCTTAATGTGAAGTGGCCCTAATGGGTGCCGTATGTGCAAGGCTTTACTTTGCAGTAGGTCATTTCATGTGTTTACTGTATTACTTGTGCATATATAATTATCTGTACTTCACTCCCTCTAGTGGCCATTTATGCATACTGATTCTTACCTTTGGACACTTCTATCATTTTAAAATTCATTATTATGGTATTATTATTATACAGGATTTATATAGCGCCAACAGTTTGCTCAGCGCTTTACAATATAACGGGAGACAATACAGCAACAATACAGTTCAATACAAGAGGGTTAGGAGGCCCTGCTCCTGGAGCTTATAATTTACCGTATTTTTCGCTCCATAAGATGCACTTTTTCCCCCCCAAAAAAGGGGGGGAAATGTCAGTGCGTCTTATGGAGCGGCCGGTCCGGTATTTCCACCGCTGCCGTTTCAGAATACTGGGCCGGCCACTCAGCTCTGCAGCGGGACCTTATGGAGATGACTGCTGACCTTTGGGGAAGTGGGGGGAGCGGGTACCTGAATTTGACAGGTACCCTCTCTTACTTCCGCGGAGTTGTTCTTTGATCTTACCTATTCCTCTATCCAGCCGCGCGCTGTCTTCCCGGCTTCTGTAGTGTGGGCGCTGGGCTTGACAGCCGGGTGCCAAGTGCACATGCGCAAGAAGCGGTGCTTTTTGTGAATGGTAAGGCATTATCTGGGACACATGACAGATCCCTGAAGCCGCTGGATCAATCACAAAGCGCAAGTGCTTCTCGCTCATGCGCACTGGGCACCCGGCTGTCATGCCGAGCGCCGATACTACAGAAGCCGGGAAGACAGCGTGCGGCTGGATAGAGGAACAGGTAAGATCAAAGAACAACTCCGCGGAAGTAAGAGCGGGTATCTGTCAAATTCAGGTACCCGCTCCCCCCCTCCCCAAAGGTCAGCAGTCATCTCCTGTGCTGTCTGGTCACCCCTGTGCTGTCCGCAGTCTCTGGTCACCCTGGTCCCCGCAGTCTCTGGTCCCCCTGTGCTGTCCGCAGTCTCTGGTCATCCCTGTGCTGTCCCCGCAGTCTCTGGTCACCCCTGTGCTGTCCCCGCAGTCTCTGGTCATCCCTGTGCTGTCCCCCGCAGTCTCTGGTCATCCCTGTGCTGTCCGCAGTCTCTGGTCATCTCTGGTCACCCCTGTGCTGTGTCCACAGTCTCTGGTCATCTCCTGTACTATGTCTGCAGTCCATTAGTTCAGAATTTTTTTTCCTGTTTTCTGCCTCTAAAACCTAGTTGCGTCTTATGGTCAGGTGTGTCTTATGGAGCGAAAAAATACGGTACTTTCAAATTTTCTAACTTGCCATTGTGTGACCCCCTATAGGTGTTGGCATGATACAAGCTGCCCTGTATCAAAAAGAGAGCCATTAAAGAGGAACTTCAACGAAGTATAACTAAAGGTAAAACTTTTTTTTTTTTTTTTTTTTTTAGTTTTGAACAGAGCAGAGAGGGATTAGAACTCCTGTTAGTTTTGATTGCTGTCTGTGCTCCTATTAGGGAGATTCACCTTCTCCATTTGTCCTGTTAACCATTATTGTTGAAAGTGAAAGTAGAGTGGAAATCTTTGGAAGGGGACACTAGTTCTGGTAGTGAAGAACAAAAACAGAGCTCTGATGAAGAAGGGACCCCCACCCTTCGAAACGCGTCAGAGTCATTCTGAGACTTTCTCCTTCAGATGGGATTCGCATGTGTCTCCATATTGTAGGATGCGCTTTTGGATTTTATATGCCTGTTTTATTACTACTCTTCTGAGTATATCTCCTAAATCAATAAATTTACTAAATGTTTACTGAGGTAATTTTTTGTTTTTGTTCTTCACTACAGTTTGTATCGAGCTTCCCCAGCTTTGTATTGGAGCTGCACAGCCTTTGATCAGTCTGGGACAAACTTCCATACATCTTTATACTATTGATCCATCGACCCTCCACTGATCTGGGTCCCTGAGCGCAGGAGGTGTTGTAATTGTGTTGACACTAGTTCTGGTAACTTGGGGGGCCCCATAGAATTCCCTTCATTTGCAGGGATTTCCTCTCACTTCCTGTTTTTGCTATGGGACAGAAGGTGAAGGGAAATCTGCCCAATGAGACAGATAGCAAAATTAAACTGTCAGGGGAGGGGCAGAGCGAGGATTGCAGAAGTGGGAGTAGGTATGGGTAAAAATCTGTACTGAACCCGCCGCTGCTGAGTGCCGCCATCTTGGATGTGATGGTAGCAGTCCCAAGAGATTCAAAGTTGTCACTCAAGTGGCAATCCACAGTATCCCCCTTCCCTGGCAGCTACATAAATGGTTATGTAGGGAGGGTCGAGTAGCTGGGGCAGCACAGATAGTAATTAGACACTTCCAGAACAGGAGATGACTAGGACATGCAAGGACGGAGAAGGGACTTTGGCTGTGCTGGGAACTGACTCTTCCTGGTGGAATCACACTTTCTAACATCTTCAAGGGAACATTGCAAGTGAAAAAAATGTTCATAGAAAGGAAACGTTGGAAATAAGCATTAAAAATGCTTGATCCCTCTGTGCTTCTACCTGCAATATTTAGGTTGGTGACAGAGTCTCAGGTATTTTAAAACTGAACCTATTCCACATACGTATGAGGTTTTACACAACAGATTGAATTAGCTGCTCAAGGCACCATTTGCCAGGTCATTAAAATGACAGTTCATCGGTCAGAATACCTCACTGTTTTCTAATGTCTATGGGGGCAATGGAAACACTTTTCTAATGACAGTACATGAAACATTCACAGTGTAGTGCAGTATGTGATCAATAATAATTGTTTAACACTACGTGAATATTTTGTCTTTTAGCAGACATTTACTTTAAACATGAGTTCTGAAGATGGTATGGGTTGGGGAGGTGCAGGTATCCTTTGAAAAGGTGCATGTTTATTTATTTTTTTAAAACCCAAAAGTTTTGCAAAAAAATGTTAAATAAAGCAAAATTGTTTTTATTGCTGAGCGAGTATTAAAATAGATTGGCGGGCTGAGTTTGCATTTTAGTATTATAGGTACGAGTGACCCACCATGGCTCACTGCTTACTATTGGGAAAGCAGCCTCTTTTATTGGCTGGAGGATGCCCAGCATCATTTAGCACTTTCCTCCCCAAACTGGCAGCCTGTCTTTATCCTGCACCTTTCACCCATTGGATTTCAGTTATTTCAATTGTGGAAGCTCTGCATCACATGTAGGCAATACTTAGAATGGTCTGCAAGCAGATGCAGCCTGCTTGGGAATGCCCACTCCTCCAGACTGACTTTCAACCATCAAGGCATTTTGATATTTACATAACTCCCCCTAAGAACCAGCCAACTGCATGCATCATGGGGGCGGAAGGCAAGAGCCATCAGGGCTTAAGGCAAGGGCTGAAGGCAAGAGACAGCCTCCTTAGTCCTCCCAAAAGGGAGGAGTACTGAGGCAGGATGCTATGATGTTTTCAGGAAGCTGTGTACAGCATCATGTCAGCCCCTCCCACCAGCCATGATCAACCTGCATTGCATAGAAAGCACAGAAACCCAGTGATGTCACTGGGTCTAGAAAAGGGGATGAAATTAAGTTTTATTTCAGTTGGTGAGAGGGTCTCTTTTTAAAGTTTTGTTGGCAATGTACACTATTGGCAGAAATCCAGGGTGATGTAGGAACAATGGAACCTTGTACAGAAGAGTAGTCAAATTAGGGGGGGGGAGAGTGATGTGAATGTTCCAGCAAGCCAAATAATTGAACCTCTTTTGTACCTGCTTTTCAACTACACAGTTGCTCCTTAATAAAAGATGCATCCAGACCTGTCACCCCACCTTCACACTGACGAGTGCAATGTGATTATCAATATGCTGAAGCGGTGCCACCTTGAGGTAAGCACTCCATCACTTCAAGCTATCAGAAGGCAATAACTCATGTAAATATATTACACTCTAGTTTTCCCTTCCCAAAGAAACTATCATTTTTGGTGAATGTTTTTTTTTTCCTCTTTTTTGATAGTGTGTGTGTGTATTTATAGATTTAAAATTGAGCTTTAAAAAAAAAAAAAAGAAAAAAAAAAAAGTTTTTTTTTCCCCAGAGTGTTACAGTTCCACGTGTTGTAAGTCCAAATCAACTGCAAATTCTCTTACCAGATAGCCATGATCTCCAATTTGGTAAGTAAGATGCGATGACAACCTCCATGCCAAAAGGGTCCTCCACTGGCTGTCCAGGAACCACAATTCTTAGCAGTAATGTTTAGAAAAGAACACAATGGACCATAGAGTAGCATTGCTAAAATCAACTGATTTATTTCATACATATATACCCACAAACACCTTTTAGGATAACAGCTGAAAAGACACCTTGTCACGGTACACTGGCGGGTGTAATGACGTCATAGGCCGCAAGCCCTGCACTATCCTGGTGTGAGCCAGTGGAGGACCCTGTTGGGTGTTGAGTTTGCCATCACATCCTGGACTAATCCATAGTGAGTGTCTCTCATGCTGTTGATATTTTTTATCATTTGGTGGTCATGGCTATCTGGTAAGGGAATTTGCACAGTTGATTCCAAGGTGGTTTGGGACAATCGCACGTGGAACTGTGACACTTGATTTCCATTCAAGATCTTACATTCGCATCCCTGGAGTCTTTCTGGGAGTAGCCTTTTATTTTCACTGTTATTTATATTGAACATAAATTTTGTGATTTGTTTGATGTATGTCACTCATTGGTGGCTTAGAATATATTTATGTTGATAATATTTTCATTTTTTTTTGTTTGATTTCACTTTTGTTTTGAGTTTCATGTCTAGTGGTTTTGCACATTCTTTTTAAAAGGTTTTAGTTTTTTCCTGTATCTGGAACATGGTGTCCAGCATTACCCCCAGCATTAAGGGCATAACTCTGCTTATTTAAGTCTCTGCCATTATCTGTTGGTGTATGTATTGTGAAAGAGAGCTTCTGCCTAGAAATAACACTTTATGCATTTATTAGAACTTCTGTCAGGTTATTAATTGTGTTTTCTTGATCCAATGACTACCGCTCCCCTCATTTTCTGATCTGTCACAGGAACAGGAAGGGAGATGAGCCAATTTGTGTTGGCTGGAGATGCATTTTAACCACTTGCCGTCCGGCTGCTGTATATAAACGGCCAGACGGTGGCCGTTCATAAACTGCTCCCACCATTTTGGACTGTGCGCGCTCCCTGGGAGCGTGCAGCACCATGATCTGGAGCCCGATGTGTCCTCCAGACACAATGGAACACAACTAGTCATACGGGACCTCTGTGCGAGGTCCAGATCATGTGATCACTGATTGGCCAATCAGTGATCACATGCATAGTAGTAAGCAAGATTTCACTTCTGACATCATTGCTTACTACCTGTGAAATCTGAATGATCACAGAGATCACATGGTACAAGGCTATTCACAACAGCCTTGTACCATGTGACAAGCTGTGACCAATCACAGCTCACACAGTATTTCTCAATGGCTGCAAGAATGCAGCCAGAGAGAAGGAGACATTATTGCTTTTAAAGCCTTTATGGGTGTAAAAGCAATCGGTGTAAAAAAAAAAAAAAATCTTCATCACCCCCCACAAGTAGTACAGTGACACTGTACTGCTAGGGTGACAGTATGTAAAAAAAAAAATAAACAAAAAATTTTAAAAATTATAATTTTTGGTTATAAACTAATTTGGGTTATTTTTTTTTTTATTTTTTTTTTTTTACTAAAAAGATAACTGAATACATTTTGGCCAATATTTATGATGAAATAATATTTATTTGCAAAATTTTATTAGAAAAACACTTTTTTTCAAAATTTTTGGACTTTTTCATTTATATAGCAAAAAAAAAATTAAAAATCCCAGTGTGAATAAATACCACCAAAATAAAGCTTTATCTGTCTAAGAAAAAATGCTAAAAAATTCATATGGGTACAGTGTTGCATGATCGCACAATTGTCATTCAAAGTGTGACAGCACTGAAAGCTGAAAATTGACATGGACAGGAAGAGGGTGAAAGTATCTGGACTTGAGGTGGTTAAAGGATACATTTTGACTGCTATGGTAAACACGCACATCCTATTGTAAGATCATGTGGTCAGGGCACCCAATTCTTGTATTTGGTGGTTTGTTTGTTTTTTATTTTTTTGTAAGCTGTTGCTCTGTGTATAAGATCTCTACCCCTGATTGTAACCTTTTTTTATTTTATGTAGTGTTGTGAAAGATGACACCGCTATGTCAATTGTAAATAATATGTTAAAATCCTTGAAATTGTATCACAATACATAATAAAGTGGCATGACTAGATGTAAGTTTTTCTTGTGTTTTTTTTTTTTTTTAACCCTGTATTTTAATTTTTTATTTTTTTTATTTTAGAACAAATTTTTGAAATTTTTTGGACAGTGCAATGATATAGACCGAGAGATGAGAGGGTGCCTTAAGAAAGAGGTGAGGTCAACAACTTGTACTAAGGAAATTTTTACAAAATGTTTGCATTTGTTATAGTACGTTTACAAGGTGCACACCAGTCAAATCTAACATTTTGCAACTACAACTGAAGACCGTAGCTAAATAATGTGGTTGGAAACTGAAAGTGATTAAGGGTAGACATACTTTTGGGGCAGTCTGTGCAGTTGAAATGGATTTGGGGGCCCATTTGTACTAGATGGGGGTTGGGCAGGTGCTGGGCCTTGCCCCCATTCTCACGTGGAATAGGAAACTTCCAAGCCACGAAAAGCAGAAGGTATTTATCATGAGATTCTGCCTTTATTCCTGATTTGTAATATCAAAATGGTTTCAGGCAGCTGCTCATGAACTCTTGACTAACTGGCACTGAGGTATACAAAATGCTCCCTCCTATTTCCCTTATCCTTAACCCTTTGAGGACCAAGGGACGTATTTGTCCCATGTTTTTAATTGCGTTTATCATCTGATTAAGAACTTAAAACTCTCTTTTTTTTTTTTTTTTTTTTTTTTTTTTTTTTGGTTTGAGTCAAAATATTAGATCTTATCAACAAACAACAAATGGATCTAGCTTTTTGCCAATTATTTCATGAAATGGCTTAGTTACAGCAACTGAAGTGTACAAACTTTAAAAACAAAAAAATTGATTCTTTTGGCGTTCCAAAATCTTACGGTCCTCAAAGGGTTAATTAACTGTAAGTGAAAGGTGTGTTCATGCCTGATGAAGGAAAATAAATATACGTATTTCTTTCTCCTAGAATTTAACTTAAATTGATTATTGGTATTGACACTTTAATATCATAACAATATGCATGTCACAAGTCATAAATAATAGTGATGAAGCGCTATGCATAAATAACAATCAAATTATAGATTTACGAAATACAGTGTGTCTGTAATCAATAATAAACTGTGACACTTAAATATAAAAGTGCAACATAAATAAACTAAAATAATAATAACACATGACTGTACATATAATGATAGGACAGGTGTTAAATCAAAGTGACTGGTGCTGTTATTCCACACTTGAAAAAATACACTATTATTTATGAATTGTGCAACCTTTGGTATAGGGAAAAGGCGATAGCAGCTTGGAAGTGCACATATATTTATTTTACCAATTGTAGAGCGCAGGGGGAATTTACCTTTATTCCTAATGCATGTCACAAGACTTCTCAACAACCAGTCTAGCCATTTACCAATTTGGACTTGACCAATGCCAATCTCTTCCCTCTAAGTTTTTTGGGAGAGTTTGAGAAGTCTGCCCCCATCTGAAATCCTAGGACAGTATTAACCTTCCTGGCGGTATTCCCGAGTGTAGCTTGGGGTAAAGTTTCTGTACCAAAAGCAGTAACCCCGAGCTACACTCGGGCTTACCGTGCAGCGTTGCATAGGGAGTCCCTCCAGCACTTACCTTGTCCTTGGCTCCCACGATGTGTCCCCCGCAGTGTCCCCGGCCATCTCCTCCGGCCGATGCTGGCATCCGGCGTCTGTGTTCCGGTCCCTGTGACGTCGGGACGTATGGGCGCCGGCGGCGGGAAATTTGAAAATTTTTAAAAAATGTCATTTTTTTCAAAACGAATTTTACATAGTAAAACATTGCTGTTTCAAACCATTTCACATACATTGTGTCCCTAGTGCTTTGTCCTGTCCCCTGTCTGCATTTTGACTGTTCTTTCTGCCTGGAAACTTAGAAAAGTCCATGGCGTCCAAAAAGTGTCCCTTTAGGTCAAAAGCGGTTTTAGACCAGCTAGAGAACAGCGATAGTAAATCAGAACCACTTGCAGAATTGAGTGATAATGATTCGTGGGGAAATTCGTCATCAGACACTGAAAACAATTTTGCGACTTTGCTCAGTGATGTGCGAACTTGGCGCTATATTTCAAATTTCAGTGTTTTTGGTTTGATTATATTATTGAATTAAATTTATTATTATTATATTTTTTATGATTATTTATTAAATTATAATTTATGATTTTGTGTTTCAAATTTTATCATATCCGGAATGTTTACTAGACTCTTGTTCGGACAGATTTCAGTGAGTTATTCCTAAAAATTACAGCCTACAATAAAAAAAAACTACATATTTCCATGCAAAAAAATGTACCGCTTTCAGCACCAAAAATCTGAAATAATCATACCGCTAGGGAGGTTAAAGTGGTATTAAACCCACTTTTTGCTGACAGGCAGGTTTTTTTTTTTTTTTTTTTGACAGAAGGGACCCGTTTGGTCTCTTCTGTTATAATGCTTCTTCTTGCAGTAAAAATATGCAGTACATATATGAAATACATTATGGAAAATATGTGGGAGCGCACCCACAAAGAGAGTATAGCAGCTGTACACCAGGTAACCATAAAAACCTCTAAAACAATATAAATCAAAAGTGCAGCGCTAAAAAAAGAGACACTATAAATATAAATCATTAAATGAACAGTTCATATAGTGATTTGAAGTGACTTCAGGTGCTTTCATATAACCGTATCCTCCTGGTGGTAAGGTGCTGTGAGATAAAGTGTAGAAAGAATGCACACTCACCAGAACGCACAATTTAATGAGCGTTTGTAATTATATGTTTCTCCTGAAGTCATCTGCCGGTCAGTAAATGAACAAGCGGTAACATGGACTAACCGTCCAGTGTTAAAGATTGGCAAATCCCCCCAGACGATGTGCGTGCGCACGAAACGCGTAGGAGGAGCCAGCAACGCCATGACGTCACGCCGCCGGAGCATCGTGGAGCTCCGGCGGCCATGTTTAACACTGGACGGTTAGTCCATGTTACCGCTTGTTCATTTACTGATTTTTTTACTCTTAAGAATCCTCGTTTTGCTGTAATAAAGTATATACTTACTACACTATGGAGATGTCTCTGCTTTGACTCCCTTGGGGAGTATTAATCCACAGCCATCCACCTGACTACTGGAGAAGGAGCCTTCACAACTACTATAGAGCAGTCTATAGGCTACTACCTGAGGGGTATTCTGGACCACCCTGATGCCCTACTAATAAAATCCAGGACCACTGAAGGGAGGATACTGGATTCCAGACATCACCCTGACCGGCAGATGACTTCAGGAGAAACATATAATTACAAACGCTCATTAAATTGTGCGTTCTGGTGAGTGTGCATTCTTTCTGCACTTTATCTCACAGCACCTTACCACCAGGAGGATACGGTTATATGAAAGCACCTGAAGTCACTTCAAATCACTATATGAACTGTTCATTTAATGATTTATATTTATAGTGTCTCTTTTTTTTAGCGCTGCACTTTTGATTTATATATGAAATACATGCATATTTCCCCATGTTTTTGATATTATGCTACTAATATAGAACAATCCTTGATCTGCCAGAAACCCATTAAGTGGCTAACTTGTGCTCCTTTTGCACTGAAATCCCAAACAGTGTTGTAGCTCGGCCTGTGTTCTCATTTGCTGGTCTTTAAATACCTCCTCTTCTCATCCTCACAACATAAGTGGGGGGGGTGTTGATGCGTTGCAAGTCTTGTTCAGAATAAAATGTTTTCAATGCATTAAAACAGAGTGCTAATCCAAGAAATAAATATAAAAATATGAATTGCTGCCCCACCCAAAAAAAAAAAAAAAAAATTAGCCTTTTGCTGCAGTATTCACATTTAGGCCAGAGCCCCCCCCCCCCCAGTGTACTTTACTGCCAAAAGATGTCGTCAGCCTTCCTCCATCCAACCTGCTTCCTCTGAGCACAGGCCTTTGTGGACCCAGTGAAGGAAAAGCACCACTTACTCCTATGATAGTGAATGCAAGCAGCAGTGGCAGGCTTCATCCTGGCCATGTCATAGCAGCAAGGCAGGATGGGGGTATGCCATCTGTAAGTTTTTCACCCAGGTTTCCAGAGGTATGAAAAAAGGCCTAGACTTACAGAAGGGGCATTATTCAACTGTAATCAAAGCTATGCAGTTGCTTTTCATCTACACATGCCCTTTACCTGCATAGGCAGTTTTTGGGGAAGGTGAACTGACCCTTTAAAGTAGGTGCCAGCAATCCTGTACATACATAAATATGGTTGTGGTAGGATCTTCCGATGGTGTCACATGTCTGCTTTGGGCTATCGCCTGGCTGTTTTACTGAGCATAGTGCAAAACCATGGAGGAAATGTACCTTCTTTGTGTTGCGCCCCCCTCGCTGCCATAAACAGTACAAAATAGGGGTGCACCAAAATGAAAATTCTGGACCAAAACAAAAAATTCAGGATGCATTTAGCCAAAAACTGAAACCGACATTGACAATGGACAGTTTTCAAAAATATATTTTTATGATATACAATTGTTTTGTATTCAACTTTTTAATTAATATCATGAATTGTAAATGAATATGAATTTTTTTTCAACATCTTTTCAGCCAAAAGGCTGGTTTCACACTGAGCAGTTTTTGAAGTGCTTTGTGTTTAAAAAAAAAAAAAAAAAAAACGCAAGAAAGGCATCCCTTTAAATTCACTGTATGTCTTTACGCTAGTCTGTTGCGCTTCCCTTGCGGTGTTAAAAAAAAAAAAAAAAAAAATCCTTGCCGCATTTTTGTTGCAGATTTTGGTCAGTTAAAAATTAAAAATGCACCTCCCCATTGAGGCCTGGTTCACACCTATGCATTTTCAGTGCTTTTTGCAGAAACACACAACAGCGTTTTTGGAAAGGGTCTGGGACTTTTTTTAAACGCAAAACTTTGCATTTTTGGTTCAATAGACTTCAATAGAGATGCTGCAGGAAACATATGTAGTGTGGTTTTGATGTGTTTTGCATTTTTAATCTGCCCAAGGAGAAGTTGGCAAAAAAAAAATGTAAAAAAACACATGCAAAACGGACAAAACACAAGCTACATTGGTGTGAACCTGGCTTGAAATACATTAAAAAAGTCTCTGGTCATCTCCCGTAGTGTGTGCATAGTCTCTGGTCATCTCCTGTACTGTCTGCAGTCTCTGGTCATCTCCTGTACTGTCTGCAGTCTCTGGTCATCTCCTGTACTGTGTGCGCAGTCTCTGGTCATCTCCTGTACTGTGTGCTGCAGTCTCTGGTCATCTCCTGTACTGTGTGCGCAGTCTCTGGTCATCTCCTGTACTGTGTCTGCAGTCTCTGGTCATCTCCTGTACTGTGTCTGCAGTCTCTGTCATCTCTGTACTGTGCGCAGTCTCTGGTCATCTCCTGTACTGTGTGCAGTCTCTGGTCATCTCCTGTACTGTGTGCGCAGTCTCTGGTCATCTCCTGTACTGTGTGCGCAGTCTCTGGTCATCTCCTGTACTGTAGTCTCTGGTCATCTCCTGTACTGTGTGCGCAGTCTCTGGTCATCTCCTGTAGTGTGTGCGCAGTCTCTGGTCATCTCCTGTAGTGTGTCTGCAGTCTCTGGTCATCTCCTGTAGTGTGTCTGCAGTCTCTGGCAGTCTCTGGTCATCTCCTGTACTGTGTGCTGCAGTCTCTGGTCATCTCCTGTAGTGTGTCTGCAGTCTCTGGTCATCTCCTGTAGTGTGTCTGCAGTCTCTGGTCATCTCCTGTACTGTGTGCGCAGTCTCTGGTCATCTCCTGTACTGTGTGCGCAGTCTCTGGTCATCTCCTGTACTGTGTGCGCAGTCTCTGGTCATCTCCTGTAGTGTGTGCGCAGTCTCTGGTCATCTCCTGTAGTGTGTCAGTCTCTGGTCTCCTGTAGTGTGTCCGCAGTCTCTGGTCATCTCCTGTAGTGTGTCCGCAGTCTCTGGTCATCTCCTGTAGTGTGTGCGCAGTCCTCTCTGGTCATCTCCTGTAGTGTGTCCGCAGTCTCTGGTCATCTCCTGTAGTGTGTCCGCAGTCTCTGGTCATCTCCTGTAGTGTGTCCGCAGTCTCTGGTCATCTCCTGTAGTGTGTCCGCAGTCTCTGGTCATCTCCTGTAGTGTGTCCGCAGTCTCTGGTCATCTCCTGTAGTGTGTGCGCAGTCTCTGGTCATCTCCTGTAGTGTGTCCGCAGTCTCTGGTCATCTCCTGTAGTGTGTCCGCAGTCTCTGGTCATCTCCTGTAGTGTGTCCGCAGTCTGGTCATCTCCTGTAGTGTGTCCGCAGTCTCTGGTCATCTCCTGTAGTGTGTCCGCAGTCTCTGGTCATCTCCTGTACTGTGTCCGCAGTCTCTGGTCATCTCCTGTACTGTGTCCGCAGTCTCTGGTCATCTCCTGTACTGTGTGTGCGCAGTCTCTGGTCATCTCCTGTACTGTGTCCGCAGTCTCTGGTCATCTCGGCCCCTGTACTGTGTCGCGCAGTCTCTGGTCATCTCTCCTGTCTGTGTCCTGTACTGTGTCTGCAGTCCATTGGTTCAGAATATTTTTTTTCTGCTTTCCTCCTCTAAAACCTAGGTGCGTCTTATGGAGTGAAAAATACGGTAAAACTTTAACAGTGCAGTATACCAATTTGAATGTTTTTTTTCCCCTTTCTTCTTAGTATGAAAATAACAGAAATGCAAGCCGTGCCAGAGCAGAGAGGATTAAACAGAGACTCATCGAAGATAGCAAGAGGATTTCATGAGAGGAGAGAGGAAGCCACCATGTGGTTGTTCACCCCTACATATTCCACCAGTTAAAATTTGTATTTATTTTACTATCAAAATAACTTTTGTTTTTTGCTTTTTTTTTTTTTTTTTTTTTTTAAATCAGATGTCCAGATTTCTTAACTGAAACGTATTTTATTAATTAAAAGACTGATGCCATCAAACTACAGATTTTTTCAAATGTGCTGTTAGCTGTTTGCCTGGAATTCATCTATAAAGCAAACTTGTATTAAAACAAGATGGCGTGATCTGATTTTCTCATGTTCTACCAGCACCACAGGGTGCCTGCACATACCTTATTATAGTGAATAAAGTACTGGTATTGTGATATCACCTGGAGTTCAGCTCTATAACACTGGCTGTATGATGTATAACCTTTATTGAAAAATTAGCTGAGAATACATTTGGGAAGATTTATACAGGAACATCTGAAGTCTTTAGAAATCTTCCAGGGCTTGTGTGAATCAGCTGCGGGTGGGAGATGTCCAAAACCTGGGTTCAGGGCCGACTGTGAGGTGGAACAAGATCAGATTGCCACTGTAAACTGCGATGGAACAACGTGACCGGAAATGACCCAACAACGTTTCGGAGCAGGTGCACCAGCTGGGGGGGCTCCTTTGCCAAGCTAACTAGACTGACAGATGTGCTACCTACTATACTCTATTGGGTGGTGTGTCCGCCCCCTAAAGGGCAAAGTTCATTGCCACGAGAACCAGGAGCGCAGGGAGAGAGCACACGGAGACAGATTGCACAGAACCCGACGTGCAGCCATTTATTGGGGAGGTTTTTGGGGTACAGACAATAGATCCATTAGTCCACAGATCCACACCAGACACAGCAACACAGTAAAGTTCTCAGGAAGGGAATATGGAACAACGGGGTTGGTAGTCTACAGGGTTCAGTAGGACCTGGAGTGGCGGTTTCATGAGACTCTGGGTTCCTGGGGAGAATTGGGCTCAGTCTTTTGGGCAGCATGGGGTTAGTCCACTTACTAGATACTCGGAGCAGGACACGGAGGGACACAGTCCACACCGGCAACACAGGGTCAGTCCACGCAGGCAGCGAAGGGTTAAGTCCGCCTGGCTCATGGGCAACAAAGGGTTAAGTCCAGGCAGAGCAGAGATCCAGCCCGCAGGCTCACAGGGAACAAGGAGTTAGGTCCAGGCAGGGGAGAGATCCAAACAAACAAAGAAATTGTGAAAAGAGATTCACAGGAAAGCGGCTACATTATGGACAGAATGCGATACTCCGAAAAATTTCCAAAAAATTATGCTTTATTAAACATTATAGATAGACAATGGGGCAATTACCCTGGTTCACCATCACCTCAGTATGAGATAATACTCACAGACCTAAAAACCACTTAAAAATCACACCAATACCGGTCTGGATATAGATGTGCTGCAAAGACCATGACAAAACCTTGTCTATAGCATTTCCAGCACCACACATTGGTAACACTACCAGTAGGAGGTATATCAAAAAATTGTACCCTAGGTATATATAGTTATGACATGCTATGCAAAGTAGCTAATACAGTTGCCATGTAGAAAGAGACATTACCCTTAGCCTAATCAAGGCAATGTGGGTAAAAATTATAATATATAGAGAGGGATATACCCCAGTGATATTAATATGGACTCATACAGTACAACCCTATAAGGCACAAGTGAGTGGAACCTGTTGATGTCCTTTGATGGAGTAAAAGATGTAGATAGCAGGGCCCTGCTTTACACGGTTTCTTCACCGCAACGTGTGGACTATAAACCACTGTAATATACGTGATGAAAAAAGGCCCAGTGGGTCTCCGTTTGTTGTAATGTATACTGTACGCCTTGCATCTAGGTAATACATTATAATGTCCCCATCCTGGAATAAGACAAATAATATATGGACAGTCAATCTGGGTACTCCTACTTTGATGAATATAGACAGTAACAAGAAGCCTTCTTCGTTAGTCTTGTAACAGTCCACTCACCACCTGTGCTATGGTTGATAAATGATGGAGATGTCCTCCGTATGTAGTGCAGTATTGATCCAGGGAATAACCGCTTACATCAGCCGATATCTTGTGGGCTCCACTCTCTCCTTGGCGCCTGTACAGCCTTGCATGGCTTATGGCATGTGAAGATGGCCGACGGCGTCCAGCAAGGAGGCGGCCATCTTTACATGCCATAAGCCATGCAGTGGTGGTGAGTGGACTGTTACAAGACTAACGAAGAAGGCTTCTTGTTACTGTCTATATTCATCAAAGTAGGAGTACCCTGATTGACTGTCCATATATTATTTGTCTTATTTGTCTCGGGATTAGTAGTCCCAGCATGGACGGGACAGAAGAGTGAGGGGTGGTGGGTGGCAGGGAACAAGCCTGGAGGATTAAGGACCAGCTCCGTGACAACCATAAATACAAAAATGGATGAATAGATGAACAGGGGCATGTACCATCTAATATTATCCATGTTCATGTAACAATCCTGTTTTTATATAACTTACTTTGTTTAGTCTATGTTTTTTTTATTATACCCCTAAAGGCAATCATGTCACACGATATTACGTTCACATGTGCCTATAGATGGGTCATGGTATAGCCTCCACCTTTTTGTTATTTTTAACCGTAAAAGGTTTCCAGGTTTTCTTGTGCTTTCTTTATTTGCAAGCCTTGACTTAGTAACAATTTTAGTTGATAATTTCAAAAAAATGTTTCAGTGAAATATTGACCTTATCGTATATTTTTATATGTATCCAATTAAGGTAATAATATTAGCCTAAGCAGTAAGTCATAGCACCTTGGTAATGGTATAATGCAATCTATATATTATCCACTAGATGGCACATGCCCCTGTTCATCTATTTGTCCATTTTTGTATTTATGAACTGTAGGGGGTGGACACACCGCCCAATAGTGTATAATAGGTAGCACATCTGTCTGTTTAGTTAGCTTGACAAAGGAGCGTGCCCCCGTAGCTGGTGAGCATGCTCCAAAATGTCACATCACGTTGAATGCTGTGTTTCACCCAGGGGCGGACTGACCATTTAGAAACTCGGGCACTGCCCGAGGGCCCAGGGTCAGTAGGGGGCCCCATGAGATGCCCCTGGTACCTTTTTTATAGGCTTTTTGAGTTTGGGCAAGGACACAGGGGCCCCATGATCCCCTATTGCCCAGGGGCCCCATGAGTTGTCAGTCTGCCCCTGGTTCCACCACATTTCACAGTGGTAATCCGGTCTTGTTCCACTTCACAGCTGCCTCTGGACCCAGGTTTTGGGCATCTCCCACACACAGCTGATTCACACCAGTCCTGGAAGATTTCTGTATATATCTTCCCAAATGTGAGTGTATTCTCAGCTATTTTACAATAAATTGTAATACAGTCTTGCACCTTCTCTGCCTCTCTTTCTACATGTCACATTGGAGATCTGCTTCTGCTCTACCCTGAAGGCTAGCCTTGAAGTGTCTACTGCTTCGGAGGCCTTCAGGATCATCTGCCGGACTCAGCAGTGGTGTTCTCTTTTGCTGCCCCCTCTCTTCTCTTTCTCCCCCTACAGTGGGAATATGGACAAACCAGAGAACATTAATTTGCACAAACCCATCTGCATGTATGTACAATGTATACCCAGCTGTCATAGTATTTTCTGGAACTTCATAGGAAGAATGTGATCACTGTGATGCAGATGAGTGATATTGCTAAAGGGTGTCTGGTTTCAGGCTTATTTTTCACTAGGTTATCCTGCCAGTAACACACTTTCTGTCAGGTTAATGTTCACTCATTTACTGAATCTATGGAAGAGCAGTGTTCTTGTGCTAGGACAGGAATACAGAATGCCCCCCTCAATAACATGGAGGGAGTGTTTTGTAGTTCATAGATATTGCTGGAAAAAATTTAACTAGAAGTAGTCCTCCAAAGAAAGCACTATCTTCTGCAGTATTGTTTTTGCTGCTGACTGCATTGTGTGTCTCTACCTTTTCCTGAATATACACTGCTCAGGAAAATTAAAGGAACACTTTTAAAACACATCATATTTCAATGGGGCAAAATATGCTGGATATCTATACTGATATGGACTGGGTAATGTGTTAGGAACGTAAAGATGCCCCATCATTTGATGAAAATGATCAACCTACAGCGGACTGAATTCAAAGACACCCTGAAAATCAATGTTAAAAATGATGCAGCAGGCTAGTCCATTTTGCTGAAATTTCACTGCAGCAACTCAGAATGGTACTTAGTAGTTTGTATGGCCCTCACGTGCTTGTATGTATGCCTGACCACGATGGTCCTGGGGTATTTCCACTCAGATCTGGACCAAGGCATCACTGAGCTCCTGATCATTCTGAGGTGCAACCTGGCGGCATTGGATGGACTGAAACATGATCTCCCAGAGGTGGTCTATTGAATTTAGGTCAGGCGAGCTTGGGGGCCCTTCAATGGTATCAATTCTTTCATCCTCCAGAACTACCTGCATACTCTCACTACATAAGGTCGGGCATTGTCGTGCACCAGGAGGAACCCAGGACCCACTGCACCAGCATAGAGTCTGACAATGGGTCTAAGGATTTCATCCCGATAACTAACAGTAGTCAGGGTACCATTGTCTAGCCTCTAGAGGTGTGTGTCCCTCCATGGATATGCCTCCCCAGACCATCACTGACCTACCACCAAAATGGTCATGCTGAACGATGTTACAGCCAGCATAATGTACTCCATGGCTTCTCCAGACCCTTTCAGGTCTGTCACATGTGCTCAGGGTGAACCTGCTC